TTATATTAAAGTTTTTCTTCATTACCCATTTAAGCCGTCTCCAGCCATTATTTATACAGTGTGCTTCACAGTTGGATTGTAACAACAGGGATAGGAAAAATAATTTATATTGTTAACTGGGTTCCAAAGTAACTGAACCAACTTGTGTAGACTTTTGACGAAAAATAAAAGAGACAGTTATTTAAAGCTCTGGATACAACTGTGGTAACCAACAAAAAGAAGTTAATTTAAGTGAGAAGAAGTTAAATCAAAAAGTTAAGTCAGTGAAAGTGAAGTTAGACTGCGTGATTGTTAGTTTGACCTTAACAGGCGATATCTTAAAGTTTAATAGAGATAAGGAAAATAATTTGTCTTGTCAAAGTGTGCTCTAAAGTAATTGAACCCGCCTGTGTCGACTTTGACACAAAGGAGACAATTATTTGAAGTTCAGGATACAACTGTGGTAATTCACGGGGTAGCATAAGTGACCTATTCACTGTTACCATTGTGATAAGAGTAGAGAAAAATAATTCGTCTTGTCAATTGGATTCTAAAGTAATTGAATCAGCCTGTGTGGACTTTTGATAAGAAAAAGAGAATTACTTAGAGTGTTAGATAAAAACTGTGATTTCCTGTACAGGAAATAATTTTTGTACATACGTTTGACTTGTTTTGAATATATATTATAGATTGTGTCCGTTTATTGTTCAAGTTTATCGTCAACAAGTCACAGAAATCTACTGTAGAAGAATCCCAAGCCACTCATATACATAAAACCCTGACAAAATCTTTTAGCTCATAGCTCCATCATCTCTTGACCGATTTGAGATCTAATTACAGTTTTGGACTCAGGACATCAAACCCTTTCGATTAATGTATTTGACCACGCCAAATATCTCATAGATTAATTTATTTTTATCTCGCATAAAATAATTTCATTTTGAGGGTAGGCTGTTTGAGATCCTGATGACTACTAAAACTGAATCGAGTATAAGCGCGCCCCACGCTTGGTATTGCTGGCGCACAAAAAAAGAAAGAAAAAAAAAGGTCTCATAGATTAATTTACTCGAATCCTGCCTAAAAGAATTTTACATGCTGCGGCTATTGAGGATTCCCTCTTGTTTCATTTTGAGCTACAAATATCCGTAAGAATATACAATTAAAGTACAGCATATCATTATTCTAGTTACTCTGTACAGACAACTAATTGTTCTAAAACAAATATACTTGTTGTTCGATTATTTTTATCTCAGTTTTAAATTTAGTTCCCACGATCAAAGATCTTTGAGTCGAGTTTTTTATTCTATTTTTCAAAGAAGATTTAAGTTGTAAATATAAATGTATAAAAATTTTAAAATCTTAAGTTATATCATCGGTATGTCTCGTTTTATAGTCTGATTTATATTTTTTCGCTAGATTAATGCATTCGTGTCATAACAATATTAAAACGATAACTCAAAATACCTTTTATCTTTCTCAAAAGAAGCGCGCCAATACAATTGAATTTGGATACAAAAATTTAGAAAGGAGCTTGGAGTATAACGTTGTAATTATGACTAAACACAAACTTTACTACATGTGTATTTTAGTTTGTTAATTAAATTGTAACTATATTATCAGTCTCCATGCGGATTCTAAAGCGTGTTCTTCTATCTAAAAAAAAAAGACAAAGATACATAGTGAATCTGATTTTTTTACTTCTTAAAGCCGCAAAGTAATTAATTAATAATTAATTGACACCCAGGACTTACAGTATCTGTTAAAAGAAATCTATAATCAGGAGGTAATTCAATCTAAGTGAATTTAACATAAAATGATTACTTTAGATGAACTGGTTGTGGATTAATTTCTATAGTAAACTGACAGGAACTCTGCATAAGTCTCTATACAAAAAACAACAACAACAACAACAAAAAAACAAGTCTTAACACTCAATCCACCAAGCATGAAACATTCTCGTATTACATGCTACAAGTGACGAAGTAATGTAGTCAAGTTTTGTTTATATAAAAAAGTTCATAATTTGGTAGTATCCGAAGTTGAGATATAAACATTTTATAGCTATAGTAAGCAGTTTAGAAATGATTGGTCAAATACTTTAAAGCTGGTACTTTATGGCTACGAACGAGCGACGTCTCCAGCGATAATTAATCTCTAGGTAAGGGAAAAATTGCTCTCTGGTTCGAGACAGCTTGATGTACATAAAACTTGTTAATTAAACAACGAAAATAAAGTCGTACATAAAAGACTATAAAAGCAGAATTATATAGCAACGTAAGACCGTGTTTGTTTTTTTACGGTGTGCACAAGCCTCACTCTTTTAGGGAAGTTTGCATCATGATTGATGGCATCAAAGCATATTAAAAGATTGGAAGGAAAAACATTATATAACATTCTACAGATCAAAAACTTCTGTATATGTGTGTGTGTGCATTTTAAATGTTTTCAAGTTTGAAAACTTTGAAGCTCATTCTAAAGACAAGTGATGAAAAACTAAATTATTATAGTTTTTCTGTAAATCAAGCATTACTAATATTTTTGTTTTCGTTGTTTTTATTTTGTTTTTAGATGAGAAGCAATAAGTGAAATCTTAGAATGTGAAGATGAAACAATTTAGAAAAAAACGAAAATAAACGATATTTATTTTTACTGTTACAAATGAAGTTTGAAACAAAAGAACACATGGTGAAGATATCTAAAGCAAATATCACAAACATCACTGCGGTCTTCTGTGGGTTTTCCCACTTTCCTTGAATCTTTCTAGTGTGTGATGTGTGTGTTAGAGTTATTTTCACTTAAATACTTAAAATGGTTTAGTATATGCAGGGTGTCCGAGAAGTCTAGAACCACAGGCATTTCAACGAACTTTACAGAATGTGTTACACATGATGTTCATGTAAGTCGAAAAACCTTGGAGACGGTGTTTTCAATCTCTTTTAACGCTGCTAAGCATATTCGTGTCATTCTCAATGACCCACACTACCAATCTTTTTAAATTTAGGTAGCAACTTTTCAACAGCACTGTGAGTGATGTTTTTATTTCTCTCTAGATGGCGTGCATTAAATTCGACAGCAACTTTCCGCTGGGACCAACATTCTCTGTCACACTTAAAGGATCACCTGTGGTTCCAGACGTTTCGGACATCTTGTACATCCACTCTTCCTGTAGCTATGTAAGGAAACATATCTTTATTGAAATACTTGACAATACATATGAAATGCTATGCAAAACGTTTCTTATCCCTTTAGAATACTGGTAATAAAAGTTGATCTCAAGACCCAACATTTAGATAGCTTTTCAAATGTTCTATATAATTCATATTTTGTGTTTCCTTTAATAATTAAAGATATTTTGAACGAACTATTCTTTATTAAATGATTGGTATACATAATAAATAATGCATTCCCCCCTTTTTTTTCCTTCTTCCATCAAAGTGGAAGTACTTTTTCTTAAAAGGAGTCATGTAAAGAACATAAATAAAAAGATAAAAATAAGAATAACTGATGCCCATTTTCAATATTTTTATTTAGTATAGTAAAATTTGAAGTTGATTAAAAAATAGGTGATATAAGATTTTACCTTAGGGAATACTCTATAGATAACGTCATTTCCGGTTTTATGAAAGAACACAAACAAACGACCATGTATTCGGCTGGCTAATGTTAGTAAACAATGAAAATCCGTGAGTAATTGTATTCGTTGAGGAAATTTTAATTTTACTTTGAGTTAATTTAAATGTACTGAAAATATCGTACGCTGACTCAGACAAGACAGATTCCTCTATCTTTAAAGACAATTAAAATAATTTTGTTTTTATAGATAGTGGAATCCGTGTTCGAGCTGTTTTTGTTTTAGAAAACAAGACATATTTCCGTTTCTAACTGTTCAGGTAGTAGAAAACGAATGTCATGAAATTGGGACAGATAGTTTTATTAGTTTATAAAATTCATTCTTGTGTGAATATTTAAGATTGGCACACGTTTTGGTTATCCTTAAGCCATTTATTTCTTTATTCAGAATGGAGAACATTTTCTGATGAATTAAGATTTTGACGAATGTTAAAGGTATTTTAATGTATTTTTTCCTGTTTGTTTGTCCTCTATCTGTTTGTTATTAAGCAATGGTCTACCTGTGTTTTGCCCATCGCGGTATCAAACCAGTAATTTTAACGTGTTAAGCTGTGAGACTTACCACTGAGGGGCATTTTTACCCATTAGATACATTATTGTGATACAAATGTTCAGAGGACAAACAGCTGATTACTTTTTCAATTCTACTGATAGATTTGTAAGACACCAAAGCCCAGCTAGTAACTGAATACTGAATAAATGCTTTTTTATAGACAAAAGCATATTAATGCTCAGAAATGACCCTCCATCTCTTCCCCCGAAAATTAGCTCAGAAGTAAGCTTGAGGGCTTAAGACGCCAATTTTCTGGCGCAATGTCTAGGATGGACACAGCGCAGATAGCTCATTGTGTAACACTGTTGCTTAGCAACTAACAAATAAATAGAAGTACTTTTGCCTTCTAATAGATCAGCGCTAAGTCTGTGGGCTTACAACGCTACAAATTTGGTCTCGATACTCGTGACTGGCACAGCACAAATAGCCCAATGTGTAGCTTTGTACTTAACACCAAACAAACAAACAAGTACTTTTAAACTGTGATAAGATACGTATGCATATAGAATAAAATTATTGAGGCACAGACAATTAAGTCAACAATTATCAAGGGAAACATTCAGTGAAAATGTTCATATGAAATAATTATACAATACATTTTTCAAGTAAAGAACACTAGTTTAAGGCTTCGGCTAAATTTCTGTCTGTGGAGTTTTGTTGTTGTTTAGAACCAAGAAAACATAAAGGGTACGATTCTTTCAGCATGTGATGTTGCAAAGTAGTAACCAAATAACTGTTTGTCATTTCTGTTTTGGACATATGTAACATGTTACTCTTCGAATAAGAAAGGCCGGTGTGCCCTGGTTGCTAAGGCGCTCGACTAGCAATCTGTTAGGCCTAGAATCGATACCCGTTACCGAAAATTCTCGCTTTTTCAGCCTTGGAGGCGTTATAATGTGACAGTCAGTCCCAGAATAAGATAACCCACGAGTTGACGGTGGGTAGTGTTTGCTCAATGACTTTCCTCTTGTCTACTATTTCAAAAGTAGAGACAGCTAAAGAAGATAGCCATAGAGTAGCTTTGAGCTAAATTCAACAAACAAACAACCACGGACTGAGCTGCTTCGTTGAGTTATTTTTCACCACATAGTGTGCATGGTGTTCTTACTTTACGGATCTGTCTATTTGGTATAAACACCATAAAGTTAGTCTTACAAGCAGTATACTTCCAGATAGGAATTGTTCTTCCGGTTTTATGTGATGGAAAAAGTCAGTCTTACAAGCAGTATACTTCCAGATAGGAATTGTTCTTCCGGTTTTATGTGATGGAAAAAGTCAGTCTTACAAGCAGTATACTTCCAGATAGGAATTGTTCTTCCGGTTTTATGTGATGGAATATGGTAGTTTACGGTATTCCTGCTGACCTGAATTATAAGTTTTTTTAGCAATTCTTTTGCTTTTTTTATTTAAACCATTATATATGAAGAGTAATGAAAAGATAAAAATCGAATTTATATTTAAATGAGTGTTTTTTTTTCTTTCTCTAACTGATAATGGATTTCGATTTCAGAATAGTTTTAAAAGTTAATCATACGGGAGATGACAATATCATTCGTACATATAATTCATTCATTTGTTAAATATTCAGAAAAATGCGTTCACTACATATGTCTTAAACCTATTACTAGAATCAAATATATTTTATAAGCTCACCGACTGGAAAAAAAAATCCCATTTGAGTTTAGTAGTTCTATAAATTAAAAAAAAAATACTAACAATAAATGTACATGTACGTGACTATAATCGTTCGGGATTATAAATATTTGAAATAAAAATACTCATCTTACATATACAATGTTGACAGAAGGAAAATATTCACTTCAGTACACTCAGATTGCTGTAATGAAGATTTTTGAAAAATAATTAGCAAGGCGTAATCGATGTTGGATAGACCTATGCTAGTAAACAATGCCAGAGATGGAATGTAATAAAAAAAGTAGTCGTATACAACAAGTTCATAACCAAAACAAATAACATTACTTACCACTGGCCAGTCTACGTGTATTTTAAGACTAAAGATATATTGATGTCAAGTGCCATGTTCTTTATGACAAAAATCAAAATCTATATTCTTTTTTTTTCCGTTGAAAAAGGTAAAAAGCTTCTCTTTTCTTTTTAAGGTAACGATAATATTTACACGCCCCCAAAACATGAAAGTGGATTCAGATATACAGAAAAATTCGAGTGTTTTGTAAGTGTTTTAGTAGACAACGTTTTAGGTCACTTATATCGGAAACACGCCGCTTCTATTCTCTAACAAAGCATTCTTAAGATAGATATACGTACTACCCAATCATTTACTGGAAATATCATTTTTAAACCACCAATTATTCAGTCGACTTTTCACGTGAAAATAATGCCATACTTTATATTTTTCTAAAATAGGGTTTTAGCTGTTAATCACACTAACAGTCCTATTTGTTTGTTTTGTTACAAATCAGTTACTAATTCATCTTTCGTTTCGTTTATACCCAAACTTGAAGATGTAAGCTAACTTATTTGATTTCCGGAAAAAAAGAAATAAATATATATATTATATATTATAATATATTAATATTATATTATATATTATAATATATTGATATTATAATAATATATTAATAATATATTCTATGCAGCAAACCAATATAAAGTTTACATGACTGTTTCGGATGTTTGCACAAAGCTACAGAAGAGCTATCCCTAATTTTGAGCTTCTAAACTAACGCGAAAGCAGTTAGCCAACGTCATCCATGCCATTCCTTGGGCTAGTTAGCTCGAATACTTGAATTTGACTGTCACTCTTCTAACACATCCACGGCCCCAAAGTGTGGAGTGCGATTATGTGGAAACAGAACACAAAATGTGTCTCTTAGGCTTCATAATCTGGCACGCTAACAACTAACCCATGTAAAGGCCCCAGTTGAAAAGGGGTTCCTATCTACTTGTTTTTCTATACCATGCATACTTGTTTTTTTAAGTTCAAGTATATATTAAAATTAACTTACTTAGCTTTTAAAAATAGCTTATGTTTCTGACGTATTTTTCCCATTAAAATATTCACTGGTGTAAAGATTTGTTCGTTTTGTGGAATTTTACACAAAGCTACACTGGAGCTACCTGCGCTAATTTTGAAGTGAGAGACTAGAAAGAAAAACAACTAGTCAACACCATCCACCGCCAACTCTTGGGTTACTCTTGTAAGATCGAATAGTAAAATTTGACCGTCACATTTATAACGCACAAGTAGCTCCAAAAGGGCAGAGCTCGATTTTTTTTGTTTTTCGGGGGTAACGGGTCGCGAACCAGGTAATCTCAGATCTACAGTCAAATACACTAACCACAAGATATAAATTTAAGCTAAGATATCATATAAGAATATATTGAATTTAATAAACGGTGGTTTGTAATTGTTTTTATAATTAAGTAGCTCTGATACAATCGACATAACGCTTCAAGTGTTCCAAGTTTGTTTTATTACTTTCAGACAAATGATTTAACAATCGGATGAATTGAAATTTTTGTTGTTGTTTATTTTAATAACATTTTTCTAGTTTAAAAATCAGGATTTGCTTATTTAGTAATTACATTTCGAAGGAAGATATTAATGAGAGTTTTAATTCAACAAAAAGTTAAATAGATTTGCTGAGTTGCATATTTTTCAACATTAGTTATTCAATTATGGTCTTATGAATTTACATGATCGAATATTCAGCATTAAAGTTTCTCTTATCTAGTTAGCAATAGTAATTCAGAAATTGAGAAAATGTGATATGAAATTAAGTTTGTAGAATCCTGAAGAAATTTGCAAAATGAAGTTCGAGAAAGGAGATCGTTATAAGATATTGGCATTTTGGAGATGCTTGTATTCTTAATGCATTTCTTTATCGTTATCTTATTGATACTATTTAATGCATTTTATTACTTCCTCATTGAAATAACTCAATTTTAAAGACAAAGTAGTATTTCCAGATATTGACTTGCTTCTTTTAATGGCAGGATATTGAATTATTTGTGGAGTTTTTCTTTTTCATCTTATTAGATTAAAAAGGAGATGTATTTGTCTTATGATTTATTTTGTTTCTGTTCTTGATGTTTACTTTTTTTCTGTTCTTATTGTGAATTTCTATTCAGTTCTATCACAAAACAGACAGTCAAAAAGGTTTGCAGTGTGTTCTTGGTCACTTCATCATTCTTGCAGACAAGCCAGTTAGCAAGACACCTTAAAGAACGTTCGATGCTTTCATGGAGTTTTAGCTTGAAGGCGGAAAGCTCCCACTAATACCTTCCTAGTACAGGAGGATCTGACATGCACTAAAATGATGGCAAATTTATCTTGTCTGGTCCGGAGTTCATGTAATTCCCTCGGTCGAAAGCACGAGAAAGAAAGCTAATCCTTTCGAAGTTAAAGCTGGTTTCACTGCTGGCCGTTAACACGCAGTATATTTCTTGACCATTTTCAACAGCACAGCTTATTGAGGTTTGTGTATCAAACTAATCCGAACTGAATAGACGAAAATTCTTGTCTATAATTGCGAAAATCTATGACATTTATTTCAGCCTATGAAGGAGGAAGAGACAGAAAAGAAAATGGAAGCTGGTGAATTAAATTTTTTTTTCGATCAAAGAGGTTTTACTCCCACTTTAATATATATGGTTGGTATTTTATTTATTTAGACCAAAAAAAAACTCATCAGCATCAAAGCAATTCAGATGAAAGTAATTATGATGAAAATTTAAGTACTAATGTTTTTACCTATATAAACATTTAACTTAACAGCTTGTTTGCAGTTAAAGCACAAAGCTACACAATGGGCTATCTGTGCTCTGCCCACCACGGGTATCGAAACTCGGTTTCTAGCGTTATAAGTCCGCAGAAATACCGTTGTTCTACTGGGGAGGCTAATTTAACAGAAACGTTTGCCTTAATTATTGTAAACGTCAATTAACTGATTTGCATATTATTAAACCTAGAACCGTGAATGTTGTTTAAATTAAACTACTTTCAAGATATAACTAGTGATCACTAGTTATCAACTTAATAATGTAATGCCGTTAAATTATGGCCGGTTTATTATCTTAATGATGTCATATAATAATCGTGGAGACGTACAGTTATGTTACTAAATGTGACCGGTTTATCAACTTAATAATGTAATACCGTAAAATCATGGCCGGTTTATTAACTTAATGATGTCAGATAATAATCGTGGAGACGTACAGTTATGTTAATAAATGTGACTGGTTTATCAACTTGATAAGTTAACGGCAATGTAACGTAATTTATTGGTAACGTTCAGTTATGTTATAAAATATTTTTTTCGGCTTATCATATAAATAACGAAATATAGTTAGCTTGGAGACTTGCAGTTATGTAACTAGTTATGACTGGTTTATCAACTCAATATTGTAATGTTATTTTCGAAACATATGTGTAACCCAGTAATGACTAGCTTACAAACACATTAATTCAATATTTTTTAGACACTTCAAGGTTTCATGATGAGTATATATATATATATATATATGAATTTTGTTTTTATTTAGTTATGCTTGGTTTTAGGGGTAAATATCGTGTTTCATCTACAACGTAAATGATTAGATTAGAGGTTCAAAAAGTCTAGAACGAAGATAGAAATCATGATATCGATTTTAGTTATCGCAAATATTTAAAAAAGTAAAAAGCTTTCAAAATTAATTATTTTGATCCCTGGATACTTTATGGAGTTTGCCACATAAAGTTAATCAAGCATTTCAGGAAATACTATTTAGACACAAACGTTACGTGATCTTGCTTGTTTTTGTTTACTTATGCTTCAAATTAGAAGTACTATATGTACATATAACGACATATATATATATATATACAGTGAGTTCATAACGTAAAATTATCGTTTCGAAAAATTTAAAAACTCACTAATGTGTTGCTTCATCTATCAAATAAAGTCAAACAGAAAGAAAATATAGGCATAAAATCAATGAAAATCAAACAGTGTAACCGTATTAGTTTCTCAGAGCTTCTAGAAAGAACGTTTGGTCTCTGCTAAGAAGAGAAAATCTATTTTGTTCCTTTACATAAAACTTCGCAGTTAATAAGTTATTGAGTTCCACTGTAGTTTTTGTTAGCATAAAAAGAATTGAAGTTTAATCTATTCAATATTTTTCTTACAACCGCCTGCGCTGGTAATGACGGTATGAAGAGAAGGATTTATTTCCTTTCACGCTGTAATGATATTTCGGTTTACAGCAGCTGCATGCTCGGTCTTTCTGCCGACTTCATTCTCCACTTTTGATTTATACAGTTAGGTGGACATTAACTGTTAAGTCCACGCATTTATCATAAGATTCTGAGCGTTTTAACTGAACAGTTTCTTGTTTTTATTGGTTTATAACCTAAAAGGGGAAAAAAAAAGAGAAAACATACCATTAAAGAAGCAGTATTGGTCAAAGGGGCTTTGGATACTATTATAAAGATAATAGGCCAATAATAGAAGTGCTGGGAGCTTTTGTTCTTATTATGTACATAAGGTTGAACAGGAATTGTCGTTAATTTTTATTACGTTATCTATCAAATTAATCTGATACCTATGATCATTACAGTCATTGGATATTTGAACGAAACGGTAACAGAAAGATACCTTTAATGTTGCCCCCTCCCCAATGGCACAGCTACATGCCTGCAGATTTACAACGCTAGAAACCGGTTTCGATACCCGTAATGGACAGAGCACAAACAAACAAAACCTTTAATGTTTTTTTTTAACTTTAAAAGCTAGCCGATTGCAACACAGTAAGTACAAGCTGATATGGTTTAGAAATAGAAATTCAGTTTTATTTCTCTCTGCGCCATCTTGTTGTAACAATCTCTGCTATATTTTATATTATACTGTCATATTTTGAAATAAACAAGAACCTTCGTCCTAGAATGGCCTGGTGGACTCGTAATCTGATGGTCACGAGTTCGAGTCGCTGTCGACCGAACATGTTCGTCCTATTTGGTTGCCGACTGGGCCAACCACCTGAGAGTAACTTCTTTGGCTTAGAAATATACTGGCTGCCCTCTAACTGGTTGGGATTAAGGTCGAAACTAAAACAAAGATTTAAAACGTTTAGAAATAATTATAAAAACCAAACAACGCCTATATAGTTCTGGATGTGATATTCACTCCATACGTGCATTAAAAAAATAGATACGTCAATTTTGCTCAATATTTGGAAAAATTATAATGCGTATTTCTAAATGGATTTTTACATGCACAACTTTAAGGTTAAGAAAGACGTATTTTAAGTTTAGTTGTGTATAGTCTTCTGATATTCTGAAGACTTGTCAACTCCGAAACCACGTATTATGTTACGTACAATTATAGAGGATATGGTAAATGGAGGACACAGAAGATTGACTATATTATGTTATGTATAATCATAGATAACATGGAAAAATGGAGGACATAGAAGATTGACTATATTATGTTACGTATAATCATAGATAACATGGAAAAATGGAGGACACAGAAGATTGACTATATTATGTTATGTATAATTATAGAGGATATGGAAAAATGGAGGACACAGAAGATTGACTATATTATGTTACGTATAATT